GTTGAACTGTGAACAATAACGGTAAGAGTATCCAAAAGACAAACTGACGTATATTATAACACATAAGCAAGTAAACTCGAGTCAGCAAACTGAATATGCCCCTATACCACAGAAATTGTGGAGAGTTTAAAAATGTGATTGAGAATACGACTCTCTTTTTCCAAAGGAATACACATACTCCGAAGTAGTTTTGACGATTCAACCTGAGTGCAAACAATATGCGTGATTTGTAGGCAAGCATAATAGACGATATGGGACATACGGTCCTCGCCCGCCTAACAGCTTAGAAAAATAATCTGCACAGGCCCTTGAACTCTGGAATAACTTCGCTTAAAGTTGGGGAGCGCATACTGAACGGTGAGGACAACTGAAGGCACTGCGAAAACTTTTTAGAAAACGTATTACGGAATAAGAATGGATGAGAGCCTCAGTCGAAGCTAACGAATGTAGAAAAAGTAGACGAATACGAGAAACATCACGTGGAACCGCAGCTTGCTATCGCAGCGCCCTCCAAAAATAAAAGACAAACGGTTGTACGCAACCATAGAAAAATAGACAGACGGATGGATAGACAGTTAAACAAATAGATGACGACACTTAACTGGCAGGTCTACAAACTAATGGATAGACATGTGAATGTCTTTATAGACGATAGCAAGCAGAATTCAGAAGTAGAAAGATAAACCCATGAATAAATATACCTCTAGTGATCCAATCCTACGCTCTTGGGCCAATGTATATATATATATATATATACATATGAATATGCATAAATGTAGGTATACATTGCATGCATATAAGGGAACACTTGGTTAAATTTTCCGCATATTACAAGCGAAATGACATAGCGTACATGCCGCTGTCCTGAAGCAGTTTCTTTATATGGCTTAAATTAATGGAATGCCGACTGAGTGAAGAGTTTACCGGGAGGAGGCCTTACCCCACCCTAGTAACATATAATACAATAGTGAATGTATCTATCTACAAAGCCTCTGCGGTCATTTCGTAGATTCTAAGAAAGATTTTTTATTTTAATATCAAAACTTTTGAAAAAACATTTTTTTTTTTTTGCTTTTTCTTTGAATAATTTTTCAATATATTTATTTTATTTATTTTGTTGGTTTGCACTTTAGCCATGAAAAGAGATGAAGATGAAAAAAATTTAATTCAATTTTAAATCAATTCGTTTTGTTGTCAGCAATCAAAAAAAAAAATAAAAATAAAAATAAAAAAAAATTGAAAGAAACGGAAAAAGATTAACGCTTCTGGCAATCAAATGCACAAAATTTTAGCGAATGAATGCAATCAGTCAGTCAGTAAGTCAATCTTAAGTTAGGCAGGCATGAAATATATATATATATATATATATATATAATAATAATAAAAATAATAATAATGCCCTTATAATGAAATAATTTATGTATAATGCTGCTGCCAAACTGTAACTAACAATAACAATAATAACAACAACCAATAGTAATAACAAAAAACACCAAGAAAAATTGGCCAATTGCTTTGCATTGGTAACGCATTCCAAATATTGCAAACATTTGAACGAACAAGAGCAACACAAAAAATCTGTGAATCTGTTTAGTTTGATTAATGGTGGCAAAATGGAAGTGAACGAAAATGAAGTCAGTACGGAATCGTGTGATTTTTGTTAAACTTCTAAATGCAAACACTGCAAAAAAAAAAAAAGAAAAAAAAAAAAGAAACACTAGAAAAAGGAAAAGAAAAAAATGTAATATGATTTAGTTTCGTTTTTCGATTTATTACACTTTATGCACCAACATATATATGTATGTCTGCAAATTTGTGTCTTTTTTCAATATATGCTGGCCGTAAGGCCTTGTTGCTCTCTGTGCGCTGTATGATCAGAATATTGCTTTTATTTTTCATTTTTATATTTATCATATTTCATTACTTTTGATGAGATAAAAATCCATATGATTCATTCGATTAGATGCACTGTCGTTTTGCTTTTATTTACGATCAATACAATAACGAAAAAAGGAAAGACAAAACGAATCTGCTGGTTGCTTGACATTAAAATGGAAGCTGATTCAAACCTTGCTTTAAGAAAACTTCGTCGTTCCAAATAATTATTTATTAGAACGCTTAACAAAAATACCTTCTGGCTAATATTCTTCTTCTTTTTTTTTTTTTTGTTACAAAAGTAACACTACAATAACAACAAGCACCAAAGCATCATCAACAGCATAAGAATATATAATGGGCGTGGTCAATTTTTTCCCCTTTTTTCTACATTTACTTCAATGCATGCTTATCATATAAATCTACAAGGACGGGTAAACGGAGGGACAGACACGCATAGATGGACTCAACATTCGATATCAGTCGAGAACATATACTCTTCGTAGAATATCTGAAGCTTTCTTCTGCAAAACGATTTCAATTTTAATATTTTATAATATTGATTAGCCGAAGACGACTATTTCCATTTCGTTGCAGCTAGTGTAGGAACGTCCGGGCAAAATTTTTACGGTTGTATCTGTTCTAGCTTAGAAATAACAACCAACAAATGAATTTTTTTCTTGTTTTTTAAAAACCAAGACGGTCTCAGGTTAAGATGTTATGTGGAAGCGTCCTCTGTAAGCCAATATTTTAGTTTTCGCTATCGCGAGAACGTTTAGTGAAGACGTTACACAGGCCGGCAAGTGGATAGATAGAAGTACCTAAGTACTGATCAAGAATGCATATATTTTATGGGATTTCTGAAGTTTCTTTCTCGGCGTCACAAAACGTTCGACAAAATATGTTCGCTCCATGCTGCACTAGTCTGTATAAGGATCTAAATGATGTACACTTTAGCGCATTGTATTGCATATAGATAGCATCTCAAGTGTTCGCAGTCAAAGTGACAGTTGTATAGTTGATATATGAAAGTAATTTTCCATACCAACTACTCCGGGGATATGTAACGCAATGACGTTTGCAGAGAAGTGAGGAAAGGGCAAAAGATGAGGAGGCAGGAGAAGTCGTCTAAACTTCTTTACACTTCGCATGTAAAAGCTATGAATTAGTTTAGCCGGTCTGTAATTTCTAGAAATGCCACTACGCACAAGACATCAGACCTCATCATGACAATAACAATATTGTCATATTGTTGACGACCTGCGGCAATTTCTAAGATTTTTCAAGATCACTCCATCTCACTTATAGTATACGGATATATTAAGTTTTGTTGGATCTGTGCAACATCCAGAATAACCTTTTATTGTATGGATCGATTCAGACAGCGATTCTAATCTAACGTTCATTATCCGTCTGACCGTCTGGTACTCTTTGTGTTTAATAATTTATTAAAATATGGTACACTAACGTGTTTTGCCCCAAGAATGCTATTGAAAATGGTTCGTATCAGACCACTTTTTCGACCACGTCCCATATAACGCCTTATTTTGAAAAATAGTTATATGAATAAATGTAGGGTGTTGTAGGATACTTTAATAGTACTTTCTGACGTTCTAAGTATCGTACATAGTGTAGTTCCATAGATAATTAAATCAATAGCTTCTTATTTAGATTTTTTGTTCATTCTAAACGAAATTTTGATTTAATCGATTTTTAAACATAGCTTGACAAGAAAAGGAAAGAAAATATTTTATGTCTGAAAAACATTTTTTAATTGTCATATTAGTGGCCATAAAAAACAAGGACAGGCATGGCTATAAATGCTTTAAATGCATGATTGCGATCAAAAAAAAACGCAAGCCTTTTTCCTTAAATTACAAGCGCTGCTCTTAAGGAGCAGTCAATTTCTTTAAAAACTACGACCCTCGAGCGATGTATGTAGTTCTGGGAATAACCGGAACCCAGGCAAACCAATCAAGCGAGAATGACAATTACGAAATGATTTAGGTTGAAGAACTTCGAAGGATCTATGCGCTGATCGTAATATTGAAACCAAGATTCCGTCCAAGTGATCACGCTAACATATCCTAGCAGTCAGTGTAAAAGGTAAAAAATTCCATTTTAAACGATTCCGTTGGGCAGACTATAGTTTCATCAAGAGACTATGGAACTTGCACAACTTCTGTTAATTTCTTTATGTTTGAAGTGACACGATCATTTCGATCCGTATTCCATTTACATGGTGTTAGCATATATCTAACTCGACGATTACTATTATTATTATTATTATTATGATTTATTGAGACCAAAGAAAGAAATTATAGAACTAAAAGTAAGATCTTTTTTTTTAAGGTAGATTACATGGCAAGTTTGGCAGCTCTAATAAAGTCGAATATTTTATTGATATCAAATTCCTCAAATATTTTCAAGTTTTCCACAGGTTTAGATGAGCCGAATTTTAGACTTCGGTATTAGGTTTTGCCAGTAACAATCAGATCGGAGAAGTAGATATCTTAAGGATCCATTAACATGTTACAATGATCCACCCAAGTCGGGTTCTTGCAAACGTTTTGATTTTGAATTTCCCAACAATGATTCGATCTAGAGGAATGTTGGAAATACAAGCTATAACTGTAAAAAATAATTTGATCAAAAATTCTGAAAATATTTTCACTATCTCTTCTATGTTTCTAAATCAACATTGACAACGAAGTCTCTTCCGTCAAATTCCGTCCATCCTTCCTTTTGCGACCAAATTCTCTACCATTTTCTGAACATTACATCAGTGGATTTTGGTCAGAATATTTATAAAAGCCTAATGAATCCAACATGTTTCTTTATTTCATACTCTACTATTTCTATACGTAGTCCCTATAGGCAGTGGACCAAGCAATTTCCCTTCTCTTTCCTTTCTCTCTATTTAAAATTTGAATTTTTGAAAAAAAGGCTTGAAATTTTTCCCCTTTCATAGCGACTATGCATTGCGAAAATGAGACCAGCTGAGCCACTTCTAAGTCTTCTTTTCAATTGCTTCAAGCTAAGAAATACACACAGTACTTGGTTAACTTGTATCTAGGAAAGGTAGAATAAGTGAAAAAACAAAAAAAAATAAATTTTTTTTTTTTTTCACAAATTCATATTTATTTGAAATGCCTTTAGATAATAAGAATGAATTTAATGAACGATCAATACTCCAGCCTGTAATTACAAATACTAACGAAGGAGACGAAGATGTAATAGTTTTTTATAAGTTACTCGAATAATGATTAAAGTTTCGTTTGTCTCATCTTAGGAGTCTTTCGATTTGGATGATTTACTGCCTATTATTGGTGAGTTTGGCAAATATCAAAAACTTTTGGTATTTGGCATATGCCTGCCAGCTTGTATACCTTGCGGATTTTGCGCCTTCAATCAATTATTTATGGCCGATACTCCCGAGGAGTATTGGTGTAAAGTTCCCGAATTGCTTAATCATACAACAAAGGAGCAAAGAAAATTTCTGGCTATCCCCAATGACTTGGTAAGAAAAAAAAAAAAACGAAGCCACACATTGACATAATATTGTCAGTGACATTGCTTTAAAGGGAGAGAGAGAGAGAGAGAGAGGAGGGAGAGAGGAGGGAGAGAGGATAACAAGAAAAGAGACAGCAATGTAAAGTAGAAAAAGCGAACCATACATATAATGTAATATAGGCTTCCATTGTTTACTTATGATAATGTTTTGTTTACACTTTTTTTTTTAGGAGAGCAATGATAACGGTGCATTTAGTAAATGTCAGCGTTATGCTGTCAATTGGACCGAAATACTTGAAGATACCGATATAAATTATATCGAACCGAATGTTTCTTGGCCCTTGGAAGCATGTAAAAATGGTTGGGAATATAATACCAGTGAAATCTGGTCTTCCATAGTTATTGATGTAGGTCGCGTAGACCTAAAAAAAATATTTGAGTGTGTTTCATTGTAATCCAACTTCATTACCAATATCGACATCATGCTAAAGCATACCACATTAAATGTTTAGGTAAAGCCAGTATATACTTCATAACAATATTCATTTAATTAGTTAAACTGATCATCAACATGTGATCGATCGTTTTATCCGTAGTATCGTTCAAATTTACTATAATAATATCTTATGTGAGAATTTTTATGGCAATTTGATTTCAGTTTGATTTAGTATGCGAACGTGATATATATCCTACAATTGGTTTGGCGGCTCTTAATGTAGGCGGACCTATTGGTGTTTATCTGTTTGGTTTACTTAATGATCGTGCTGGCCGCCGCACATCATATTTTAGCTGCTTAACTACATTGCTTGCGGGCAGTTTAATGACATCATTGAGTACAGACTTTTGGATGTGGGCGGGGAGCCGTGTCATTGTTGGTCTTACAATACCAGCTGTTTATCAAATACCTTTTATTATATGTAAGCACAAAACCGTTATCTATTCTCTTTCACCTTCATTTCATAAATTATTCACAATATGTTACTTGTTACTTTTCTAGCGCTTGAACTTGTCGGCGAAAATTATCGTTCGTTTGTAACGGTTATGACTTGTACCTTTTACACATCGGGTATTATGCTGCTGGCCTGTGTTACATACCTGGAGAGAGATTGGGTGAAATTATCATATTACACTTCAGTGCCATTTTATGCTTACTTCTTATATTTGTTCGTAATGCCTGAGTCACCGAGATGGCTTCTGATGCGAGGACGTCTAGAGGAAGCGTTAAAAGTCTTGCAAACTATGGCTCGTGTAAATGGTCATGAATTTCCAGCTGATATAAAATCAAGACTAGAAGCTCAAATCTCACGAGACAAACTCAAAGAGAAAAAGAAACACATTAATGTGGGCCTACCGGACCTATGCAGGTTAGAGAGTGAAATTTAAACAAGTAAAAATCATGGTCCAACATTAAACCCCTCCACCACTTTCCTTAACACAGTTATTGATGTAACAACTTTTCTAAATTAGTGATGAAAGCGGTTGAAAACGCAGTCCTATCCGAACCATTTTTCAATAGTGGTTGATTTTGGACCAAAACTCATTGGTGTTCGCTAAATTTCATCAATATATTTCAAAAATTGAGACCTATAGGTTGAGCGTAAGAATATAAGGCAAACAGACGGACAGATAAGCTTAGATGGAAGCAGAAGAAGGCTTTTTACACCGGTCTGAATAAAAAGAACTGGACTTGCGTATCGATTCATTCAAAATCACTTTCCAGTTCGAGTTAAGTGTGTGCTGAATTCGGATCACGTAGGTCCATTTTTTAATTTGTATAGGAGTTATCATGAAAAACAAGTCCTTATATGGAGAGAGGCTCTGATTGCTAGCTTTTTATAGCGAAAGTTGAAAAATAATAATATTTTCAGGAAATACATTAACTTTGTAAAATAGATGATGCGATGTTTTGTGCATCCTCCAAAATACGGAGTTTCATCAAAAGTATACCTTTGCATGAAAGTAATGTGTAACTTTTAGTGCATCATTATCGAAATAAGTGAATAAGTGTGGAAGACGAAGTGGCGTAAAGCATCTAATAGTCGGCCTTGCCCGACTGTAATGCCCTTTCTCGTTTCAGAACTCCCAATATGCGTTTGAAGACTATCTTAATTACACTCAGCTGGTTCGCTAACGAGACCGTTTACTTGGGTCTGTCCTATTATGGCCCGTCGCTGGGTAGTAATCAATATTTAAGTTTCTTTTTGTCAGCTGTCGTGGAAATTCCGAGTTACTTGGTTTGCTGGTTCTTAATGGATTGTTGGGGAAGGCGTTGGCCTCTCAGCTTGTCAATGATTTTGGGGTAAGCTTAAAATAAAATAAGTTTCGCGTATTCCCTTTGTCCGAATAAAAGGCTTACGTTTAAGTCTATTAGCAAGAAAACATGGCCGGGTCAAGACTTCTAGAGCTTTCTTTCTTGAGAATGCATCAAAGGCTTAATAGCCGTATCACAATTTTTCAGTCTTTTTACGCTAATGGAAACTTTGAGTGGAATTTTTGGCTATCACCACGTCCATAAGTCCATAAGTGTTGCAGTGCTTTGAAATGTTTTCCATTTGTTTGTAAAAAACAAATTTTTTTCTTAATCTATTATAAATCGAAAGGTAATATAAATGGAAAGAAAAAAACTGAATGGACCCTATTTTCGGTAGTCCCAAATTTTTAGTTAAATATAAGCCATATTTTCGGACACTGAGCAACAGTTTTCACTTCATTTCATTGATTTATTGATTTTTTTTTTTTATTTTTTTTTAAAAGTGGTTTAGCTTGTGTCATTACGGTGATGGTGCCTGATGCTGCGGTGGATGAAACTCTTTATCTATATTTATTATCCAAAGCCTTATTATCCGCATCATTTTTAATTATTTATCCATTTGCTGGTGAATTATATCCAACACAAGTTCGTGGTATTGGTATTGGAGTATCCAGTTATGTAGGTGGCTTGGGTTTAATTGTTATCCCATTCGTCACCTACTTGGTAGCCCTGAACATTCGATCATGATCAACCGCAGTATGATATAGATATTTTTTTCTTTTCAGGGTAAAGAAAATCTCAAATTGCCTTTGGTTATAATGGGTTTTGTTTCAGTTTTGGGTGGTTTTACCAGTCTACGATTGCCCGAGACCTTACATCATCGTTTACCGCAAACTATAGATGAAGGCGAAGAGTTCGGCAAAGATTGGTCTTTCAATGAATGCTGTAGCTGCAAAGCAGAACCGTAAATATTCCTTTTAAATTTCCTTCAATCATCGGTGATAAAAATTACATAATTCATTACAGGCAAGTGCCTTCGCAAACTGCATCTTATGAAAATCTTGATGTTTTAGAAGATAATGCAACTTCCGATATTGAATTGGAGATGAAAGCTTCTTCCTCGATATCAAGACGTAACCGTCCAAAATCGGTGATAGATGAACGGACGCCTCTAGATAATAAACGTTCGCAACGGCTTTCCAAAAAGCGTTTAGTACGCCAAATGAGCGTTATGGATACTCAAAAAACCGAAGATGGCATTATGCAATTAACCCATTGGATTTAAAACACAAACAAAGAAAGTTCAATCAATAATATTACATGAGGAAAATCAAAGTTTTCTGCTTCACTAAATTACACTTACAAGCATATCTCAATAGTAGTTCTAATTGTTAATAAATATATAAAAACAAATAACAAATGAAAGCAATCTGGCAAGTGGCGTGTAAGCAGAAAGTATTGTTTAGAAGCCAAGTACCGGGACCGAATCTTTATCAAATCAAAACGACGCCAAACCATCCTGCAATCCATCCATGCGACGAGTTACAGAAATTTTTTACAAAATAGTAATATGGGGCAAGTAGGAGTTTAAAGGAACTTATTTGTTTGTTAAGGGGCTTGGGCGTACAGTTTATATCCCGAAACAGTATTGAAACTATTTCGAATCAAGCAATGCTTTTATGTCATACATCACTTGTGATACAAAAATTACTTTCTGAATAGATCTGAATTTCTTTGTTGTTGTTGTTGTTGTTACATATTCCTCTACAAGCCGCAATTATGCCCGTAATCTGAAATTTGGTACACTACCTCAAGGAGGAATGCTATTGAAAATGGTTCGGCTGAGATCATTTCTTCGAGCACTTCCCGTATAACTTTAAGCTTTATTTTAAAAAGTCGTCGTATGATTACTCGTAGGATAGTATAGGGTGTCGAGTTGTGGGCCATAAACCACTCTTAATACGATAAAATGCCTCACGTTCGAAGAAGAAACCTACACCAAAAAGGAAGACACAGGAAGGAAGAACAAGCAACCTACACCAAAAACGAACAAGAACAAACACCCTACCGCAAAAAGGAACAAGAACCAGCAACCCACACCAAAAAAATAAACGTTTGATTTTCTCAAATTTATATATATGTAGCGTAACTAAACATAAAATTCGTAAGAAAATCAGTTACATTGGTGTAGGTTGCTTGTTCTTGTTCCTTTCTACTGTAGTGTTTTTACTTGTCGTCTTAAAAATTTCCGAACTATAATAAAAATAAACATATTTCATTTTTTTACATATTTTTTTTTTTTTTTTTTTTTGCCTTTATTAAATAATTAAATTTATTAAATAGTATAAACTAACATAATTACAGTGACAAGAGCCAAGGTTTTGAAGTAACTGTATAACATACGTAACATCCGCAATAGATAAAGACAATGTGATGTTTACAATAATAGTCCGATTTTCTTTAGCGTTAGTTGTAAAAGGTATTATTATATTTGTAATAACTAATTATGCCCATTTTGTTTTAACGCTATGTTAAATAGAACACTAACGATAATCGTACTTTTTTCTTGTGTTATTATGAGTGAAATTTTGAATATCCCCCATACTATGTGGGTCAACAAGGGGGATAAGAACAGGAAATTAAAGCAAATAGTTTGTGAAAAATCTTATCTACATTTATTTAACTTATAAAATTTATAAAAGATTATCATACTTTACGTTATTTTCAAAAGTATTGCGCTCTCTTTCTTATCAAAATATGTTGAGAATTTACACATGAAATATTAGACACACAGACGCCAAACAATTTGTTTGTTTAACAGATTGAATTCTGCATTATTGGCTTTTATATGTATTTAGTGCATTTTTTTACTCTCTTCCTCTTTTATTTTTTTGCTTTGTCGAAATTTTGAGAAAAATCACAACTTGAACTTAACGATCTAAATACTTAGACATGTATGATCCTAAAATATATATATGCATATACTCTGATGTAGTTTTCATAATGCTTATATTTAACCCTTCTAGCGGGGCCAATTTAGTCCACCTTGACTACACTGTAAATTTTTCTTATAAACCAGAAACAAGCAAAGAAACCAATTGTACCAGTTAATAGGAAAAATAAGAAAACCATTATTGATGTATATCCAAAGTATAAGAATGTCGAAGCTGCATCCTTAATTGAAAGTTTCGTCACAAAGTAATGACAGCAATAAATAAATAAATATACGGCCGTAAAACCCGAAGTCAAAAATGAACGCCACCACCAATGATAATCTTCAGCGCAAAGATGAAAGTAACATAATAATATTGTAGTCTCCGAGCATGTGATGACCAATATAAGGAATACCAAGAATAAAAATCCGAACATATAATACATCTGGTTCGACCATATCGAGCTAAGTATAAAGAATAACTGAATAAAAATGCAGCCGAAGGGCAAAACGCCGCCCATAATAATGCCAGGTATAGGTTGAGTGTAAATCGATTGATCGGGTATTTGACGGGGAATTTGATTCGTACGCACAGGATGTTCCAAAGCCTGCAATTCAAGTACAATGATTTAGAGCGTAAATAATTGAAAAATCTAAGAACCAGTGAAACTACTAATGCAAAAACAAAAGCAACTTACTCGTTTACGAAATCCAAAGTAAGCACCAACAAAAGTTAATGGAACTGACACTCCAAACCACAAAGCCAACAAAGCAATTAAAGTACTGAAAGGCACTGCACCAGAGGAGCCTTCGCCCCACAGCACCAAATTCATGACGAAGAAAAGTCCAAAAACAATGCTAACCATATAAGAACATCCAATTAACATATTTTAAAATAAGAATTTTTTTTTTTTTTTAATTTTCAACTTTACACTTACCCCGGACACAGCATTGAAGTTAAAATGACGTTGCTTTTCCATTTGATGCCTCCGAAACTTTTATAGATACGTGCAGATACATAGCCGGCTGGTGTGCCTAAAGCCACGAACAAGACCATTGAACATGTCATGAGAGCTCCACGGTTCGCGGGCGAGAGAAAACCCAAACAAGCAAATGCTAATGTGATCAGAGTCATGCAAGATACCTGCACTCCCGATCCTAGAAAAACTGATAATAACATGCCTTTACGAGGAGGTCGGAAAACATCGCCATGCACTAATTTCCAGCCGAACTCTTCTTGAGCGTCTTCCCCGCTTTCCATTTGATTATAACGTGCAATATCTTTATGCAAAGTGCGCAACATAATCATCGCCACCATACCCGATAGAAACAAAACAATCACCAAAGAATTTAAAATTGAAAACCACTGAATATTTGTGTGAGGCATTGATTCCAAGATGTAATCCCAACGAGATGACCATTTGACTTCGTCGTTACGTACAAATTCTACACTATACGTATATATTATCAAAAGTTGCTCCGTTGGCGATAAAACACCGCCTTTTATAGCTAATGGATCGGTATTGCTACAGTCTAATTTATTGGCATCCACATGATTAATAGAGCGCGGTGTCACTTTCACCGATATTATGCGACCGCCATTCCCTTTAAAACCGACACCCCACTCTTCTGTCTGTCCACTATGATAGGTGATCTTTAAATCGACGTGATTGAAAGGATAATAGTAACCGCGTGTATTATAGCTGGGATTAATCATACAACCATTTTCACCGTCATTACGCACCAAACAACCCATAGGAAAACCCGTACTACAATATTGTTTATTGTTTTCCAACGGATAGCACCAAGTAACCGGCATATTGTCAACAATCCAGTGATGTTGATAATTTAAACTGATGCCCTTCTTTAATACCATCATACGACGATCGCTATCTGAATCACCACCCACGTAATTCTTTCGACAGACCTTAAAAAAAATAAAAAAATTTTGAAATGTATTCAATAGAGTACAATAGTTGCGAAATTAAAAGAGAAATGAAATGAGAATGAGGCAGCGCTCATATTTCCATATCTGAAATAATACGTATATAATAATACGTATACAATAATATGTATGTAATAATATATACATATATATATATAATAAATACAAAAATGACAAATTTTATAGAAAATAAACATTGTTTGTAATTTCTACCAGACTTGGGAATATAAAATACATCGCCTGAGAGTGGTCAGAGCCTTAAGAATTTTGTTATTTTATATGAAAAACTTTAGGCACTTATTAAATTAACTATTAATTGAGTTACTTACCATTTTGCAACTAATATTTTCGAGAAAATTTATTTTATATGGCCCCGGACGTATACGTTCGCCAAAAACTACCTGACCTAAGTTCTCAACGGGAGAATTTTGTTCATTGCCAATACAGAAATCGAAATGATGATACTCGTAAGGTATAACAGATTCCTCTGTATTTAGACGATTTACGTAAAGTGTTATATTTGACTGAAAAAACAATGTTAGGAAATTATTTTAAATACAATAACTTTCTTTTACAATGCCACTTCTGATAAGAGCAAACTTTAATTGATTACTTATCACAAATTACTCACCTTGCAATTAGTGGATGCATCCGATGTGACACAATAGTTAACAGGCGCCAGTCCCGGCAAATAAAATTGCTCCGTAATGATAAACTGTGATAATACCAATATAAAGATCAGTGTATAACTTAAATTTGGCGTTCGCCAGCCTTTCGGCTGCTTTCTTATCATCATTTTTCTCAAAGCTATTAACTAAACTAATTCACTTATATGTTGTTTAAAAAATTCGTTTCTGTTGCTTTCCTTGCCCCGAAATGGACTACGTACGCAACTATAAATTGACAAAGGTCTTTCACTTAAGTTTTTTTATTTTGATATATAGTAAAAACCTATCATTTGCAATACTTGAACATTAAGTATATAAATTGAAAGAAAATATAACTTTTCTTGAGAATAATGAAATTCTTTCAACTTTATACCGTCCTTTTTCGTCTTTGTTTCTGACAGTGAGAAACGTCATCAAACAGTATTACCAAATCAGCTGATATTTCTATTGCTGATTTTTCTATTGTCATACGAATAAATGCAACACAGTACCTAAGCTAATTGAATTGAAAAAAAGAAAAGATCATATTAATATAGTTGCACCTAGAGTGTACTACATATAAATCTTGGATTTGAAAAATATTTCAAGTAACCAATACTACAGATATATAAAAATCATTAATAAATGAATGCAGAAATTTTAGAAAATATATTCAGATATTTGCTTTCTTAGGAAATGTCATAACATCCTTATAAAAATATTATTCTCATGATATTTTTGAAATGTGGAATGAATTTTATGAGGAAGACGATTTTGTTAAGACTTCTATTCCATGCAGACTACGAACTAAAACGTGCATAATTTTTAATAAAGCTCTTTTAATTTCCTAAAACGAGTCCTAGTCATTGTTTTTCGCTGCTTTAGAATATCAAATTTTTATTTATACCCAACGAAGAAGATATCCATAATGAAACAAAAAACTTATTAAATATACAACTACAAAACAACATAATACAATTTTTAAGCACAATTTTCATTAGACTTCATTTTTAACATTTCACGCTCAAACACATGAAAACGATATTTATCTGCAGCTTCTATAACTTTGGCTGGTTGAAGCGGGATTTCCAATATTTGTATGTAAATCACAGCAGCCATAATTCCTCCAAAGATTGGGCCAAGCCAATAAATCCAGTGAAAATTCCAATTACCGAATATTGCAGCTACAGACAAAACATTCGCTGGATTCATGCCGGCTCCAGTATAACGCCCAAACGTCAGATGACCTAATGTAACACATAAGCCAATGGCCAAACAATTTACGCAGTGCATATTTCGGGTGTTAATATCATAGGCAGCAAATATAGTCAACAGCAAGGAAAAACCCAAAACAAATTCCATAGCTAAACCTTGAAGGGCCGAAATATTTTCATTCAATTCATAACTATGCCAGTTATAATGATAAATATCATCCAAAAGATATTTAATCATAAATATGCCAAGTATAGATCCACAACATTGACTAATTATGTAAAGCAAGGCTCTTGCAATCGTGATCCGACGAGATATTAACATGGCTACAGTTACGGCCGGATTAATGTGACCCCCGCTTAGTTTACCTATTATAACGTTCACAATATATATTCCCAAACCACTGGAAAATGCTTTAAATATGATATCTTCTCCTTGAGCAAAAGCAGCACCAGCAAAAATATTCAAAAGTAAACTTCCGAAAAACTCCGCTATTGCGGATTTCCATAAATTGCGATCCTTAGAGTAAAACTCCTCAAATCCGCAAGAATATTTATTATGCGACATTATTTATTAAGCTAAATTAAATGCGAAAATATTATTCACTTAATCTTAGAACGTTTAACAAATACTGAGTTGAGCAATGAAGCAAAAAGCAAGAATAACGGTATTTCACAAAAAAAATTCAAAGAAAATATGAAAATGAGGAACAAAAAGGCTATGGCCGAACTAGGAGTTCTCGTTTATAATACGGGAAAAAATTTTATCAATTCATTTTCATTAGAAAACGTAGCACTCTCTTGGTAATTTGTTTAGAGAGGATCTGTAATAGGTAGACAACTTCGTACGATAAATCAAGTATATGTTCAATTTGGGATAATGACAATTTTTGCATTTAAAGCGGTATTTGTTTTGCATATTTCAGAAAATAACCAAAGTGAAATATCATTGCCATTGTTTATTTTAACACAAAAAAAAAAAAATTAGAACACGTAAGGAAGGTATATTTGGCGGGGACCCAAAAGGAGGCCGACAAGAAATCTTTATTGACTATGAAAAAATGGTAGAGTCTTATACAGAAAGCAAATTTCAATTAGCGAATCAAGTATCAGAACTTCAAAAACAGCGTAGAATGGATGTGTGAAAGCGTTGGAAAAACTATCTATCGAAAATGAATGCGTTAAACATCAATTGCAGCGTTTAAGCGGCGATAATGATTCATATAATGAATCTCATACACACCATCGTGCTTTTCGCATTCTACTCTCCAAGTTCTTTTAATTGATACCCATATCCCACGTACTATTAAGAAAACAAATTTCTGCAACACTAAGCCGGCAAAAGATTTAAGAGACTCGTAAATAAGGATGAGACAAAAAAATGTATGAATAAGTATATGGGCAACATTTGTGCTGTAACAGAGAAATGAATAATTTTCCTAACATGCATGTAACTCGGCTTAAAATTATAAAAGCATTGTGGGGGATTCTTTAGTTAGTTTAGTTATTACTGTAGCCTACGTGTTCGATGATTTGGGCCTCCCAACTGAATCTGCTCCTTTTGAATATATTATGGGGTATAATGAGATAATTTTAATATTGTATTTTTAATAATAACCAAACATTTTTAATAATGTTTAATATTCAAAATAGCTCGACAAAAATCGCTGAGTGATAGGATTTCGGTAATGCTAAATTGATGCAAAGGTATAGATGGACTGCAGCGATTCATTGAAACTCTTCCTATTTTAAATATTCTGTTTCTTCATTCGAGGGATGTATAAAATAGTTTTAAACATTCTGCCTTGTTTGCTATAGATGTTACATACATTATGAAAAAAGCAAAATGAGTATACCCCCATCTCGCAGTGGTCGTTATAATAATAAAATGGCAAAAGCAAACAACGTTTAAAGCAGTGTGATTGAAATATGATAGAAGGAAACAGTTGCCACACTTGCATAAATTATGATCAAAATACCATCTACAAATGACTACTAACCACAATTATACCATCTACAAATGACTACTAACCACACTTGCATAAATTATGATCAAAATACCATCTACAAATGACTAGAAATACCATTCACTCAGCAAACAACACAGTAGCTTGAAAAATGTTTTGGCAACTCTTCTTTGTCCGAAAAAAAGTCTTCCACGGCTTCTTGATTTTAAAAGTGATTGCATGGATGACGTACCAGAGACTGAAAATAATAAATGCCTTCAAAAGAGGTGGTTAGTCGAAGAAACGTCAACTCAATGGTAATCGTTCTCGATAGCCGAGAAGTGATTTTCGAATAGGTAAGTGAAAGCATCAATGTATTCACTATTTTCGCGTGAGAAGCTACAAGCATATATTCATGCATTCACAGCGGAACCATTGTATCAACGTAGTGCTAATGCCAAATATGAAAACCACCTCGATTCACCGTCATATGAGAGTAATTAAATGAGCGGGCCACCTCGATTCACAGTCGCGCTTTTGATTTCGGATAATTTGCCATACATAAGAGAGCGTATTTAACAGCCGTTTGCAAAATGGCGTGAACTCAAATTCGACTGCCTCGACCCACGCTGTTATCCCTATCAAGCGACTTTTATCTGTCAAGATGAGCAAGCGGTCTAAGGCGCCAGACTTAGAAACACCACTATTTGTTTGGAAATCTCAAAAGGACGCGGCAAAGAAAGACACTTGTGTCGGAATTGCAGAAACTAAAACCTATTTTAAATAGCTTAGCAGATGGTTCCATAAAAAATGGAATAGAAGCGTTGAATTAATTGTACCACTTTGCAAGGAAATTATATTGATGAACAAAAGTCGGATATTGTAAAAATATTCTTCCCTTAACAGAATAATTTTAGGAGATTGAATGAAATTAAACGTAAAACGTAAAACCTTAATCAAGCAATGAAAATTTCAGAAAATAAAACTGCGAGACAGAAGTTTCAGTGGGTTTAACGCAGATGCCTGCTTGAAAGGCTCCACCCTGCGGTGCCCGCTGGCGCACGGAGTGAAACGTCACTCTCGTTCCACAGGGAGCAGGGAGGCTCCCTGCAGTTCCAGGTCAAGGCCATGTGTATGGCATGCCCTTCCTTCTGGCGGAGGCGAGTCCTACCTAAAAAAAAAAAAAACCGCGACAATAGGAAACTGACAAAAAATTTTACTTAAATCATATTACAAAAGAACTCACGAATAAACCCTGACTTGTAATCAAATAATTGATAGCTAATACTTAATTTAATTAAGTAAAAAATTAATTTTATTAAGAACAGGTTTTTTTCGGTCTTTTTTATGTTGTATGACGTGGTAGTGTTTTTTTTTTTTTGTTCTAATCGAAAATGTGAGTATAATAGTGGGGCGGCAAATTTATTTTTTCCGATTTTTGATGGTTTTGCCGTCGGCGTTATTATCCATTTTTAGTTTTTTCTTGGGTGAGGCCTGAATCTCATATTCCTCTTCTTCGACGACATCGTCCTCTTCATCTGTCTCACCATCTTCGATATCAACCACTTCAACCTCATCTTTGATATTTTGCCCATGTATATACACGGGACCGTTGCCCTTAATAAGCTTAAATGTGACCGCAGTTTCATAAAACTCAATGTCAGGATTGCAAGCACGTGTTTCGCCAGCTTTCAATACCGCAATAGGAATCTTCAAATTATCTTTAATGGTGTGTACCTCGACAACATTGAACTCATCTTCTTTGGCTTCAGCACCTAATAAAATTTGACGAATTATTAATTTTTGGCCCCGGGGATAATCTTCGTCATTTGAAAGCACATCCCACAACACAGCATTATTTTCAGCGGTTAATGTAATACCGTAAAATGATTCTTCTGACATTTTGATTCTTCGTAATTGTCTAGAAACAATCAACAACGATGTTTTCGTAATATTTGCACAAATTACAAGAAATTATCGCAAAGAAAACTTTACACACGAGACGGCAAAAGGTATGATGCTTGAAACCGTATGAGTTTTGTTTACATAAACATCAATGTTGTCTTATCAATGTAAAATATTCATGCAGCAAAGATACAACTTTGTTGTTCACTCGTGTGAGATGATTTAAAATGCTTAAATACACATAATCATTCATAATTTCACAATTGTGATTATGAATATTCAGCAATTACAATTTAATTTGATTTTGTCTTTGGTTTTTCATTACAATCACGAAAATTAACAAATGTGCTATGATAGCTTCCAATATCAAGTAACGCCGCTCGTTAAAGTACAAATTGTTTTGATATCGAATGTCAATATCCATATTTTTTTCGAAACTTTTCTTTTGCTATGGGCAAATGTATATTTATATATTTATATATATATATATATATATATATATATATATCTTCTTCTATTACATCTTATATTTTACTTTCTCAAGGTAAAGAAAATATAAAAAAAGAAGTTTCGCGAACATTGTATTAAAAATTAGTGTAGTATTTAATAAATTACATTGTTGAAGAGAGAGAAGTTTTACGAAAATTATATGCAAAATTAATGTAGTATGTAATTAATTTATGGTACGAAGATGTTGATGAATGACTTAATGTAGCTGCTGTACACTGCAAGGCTGAAATAAATGTTAAGTCAATGGCGACATATAATTAACATAGATAGAATCTTTACTTGATATAATTAACCTGTCCAGCATACAATTGAACGCCTTATTGTCCTCCCATAATCTCTTCTACTACTAGCATATTCTTCTTCTATTGTAATTGGTTAATTCTATCCCTTAGATCGCCATTTTCCCCTAGTAATTTAGTTTCCTTAATTACGTAAATTCTTTCATTTTCAGAAATTGTCTGTACACATTCCCCACTACATCGAATAACTTCAAAATTGTGAATTTTATTCTTTCTTATCCGCCCGAGTGGACGTGCAGGCAAGAGTCTCGACTAGCAACTCTTGGGTTCAAATCTCAAGTGCGTTAGAATTTTTAATAAAGCTGAAAGCCTTAGTTGCTAGTGTTTTAAATGCTTTAGTCTTAGAATTATTCTCTGGCCAAATTTATAATAATAATAATAATAATAAATTTTTTTTGTAGGTTATTAAAATCACGAAACTCTTCTGACCTAAGTAAAGGTGTCTTGATTCAAAACGTTGTGCAACGCCGCAATTTGTACTTTTACCAAAAAATATAAATGTCAGTGTGGAGAGATATAAACACAACTGTGACTACCCTAAATTTTATTAGCATTAGTTTTCCCGTAATTTCCAAGCGGACTTTCACTATATCCAAAACTATTATATATATTTTTGCTTTTTACCTTTTTCCTTCTTCTCCTTTATGTTTTCTTTGAAATTCGCACATCGCTACTTTGATGAATAATTTGTTGAAAATGTAAGAATGGAAAATAATTACGATTGGAAAGTTCAATCAACAATTTAGACAACGGCTAGAACCTACTTTCCTGACCCGACATCTTTATTTATATATTTCCCTGGCGGAATGTACCTTAACGTGACGCCGACCTCTTTGCTTTTTTGTTTTTCTTTTTCACCTCTGCAAATGTTTATGGGCACGCAAAGATTTATCAGCTCTCTAAAAATATATAACGTAACCACAATTTCCTTTGAGTCTTTTTTAAGCAAGTAATGCTGAAGACGTTTCGGAGCCTCTGTAGCAATTTGGCAGAGTTTATCTTCAATTTAAAAATGGAAACTGAATCTTTTTAAGGTAATTATTTAACAACATATGAACTATACTTTCCAAGCATGGTTTCGCTATTCAAAGTTCGAAACAAACGCCTCGTATACGTTTCGGCAAAATAATTTGCTTCTTAGCGTACGCACAAGCTTTACGATTTTACTTTCCCATGGGAAGCCGAAGTATTATCAAGTATGATCAAGTAGTAGATACGTCACCTCCAATAGATCACATCTGTTGTATGTCGGTCTGTTTAACAAATATATAAAAGGAATATGAAATAAATGGTAACGGATTATGTGAAATATCTCTTGGTATGAGGCAAATCTGCTACAATAAATATTTGGATAGTCTTTGGTTCTACTTAGATGTACATGCTGCTATTCTGTTACTTGAATATATACAATGCTCGTATTCTTGTTGAGTTCATTATCCCATATTTATGTTTCTCTTTTGAACCAAAAATGGGGTAATCGTTTCTTGTTTCTCTATGGTTTACGTGTAAGGTTGTAGTAATTGATCCTAAATTGCTTAACTAAAACAAATATTGTTTGAAAATGGTGAATGTACATCAATTAAATTTGAAATATACAGCAATATATATAGGAGAAATAAGAGAAGAAGAAGAACAAGATTAATTAAAAATCAATTGATTAAATTTGAAAAATGAATGAGAACATAGAATCTATTCCTCAAATTTCCTACAAATCTGTCTATCACAAGCGGATGCAAAGGAAACATAAATTGCAGAACAACATAAGTGAAGAAAGTTGCTTAGACGGCCCGAATGATATCATTAAAACATTCGTAATTCAAAAAGATATCGCTTTAGAAAAAAGCATGGGTCGACATGAAGATGAAGTAATGTCCTTAGCGGATTCCCGATCTTATGTGCAAACGTGCTTACCCAATTTTGACAATTTGACAGCATCCCAAAAATTTACACCATATCATAAATTAATTTCCCCGTGTGCTGAGTTATCGAAAAGTGTAAGTGAATTTCATATCACTGACACACAGTTAATCGAATGTTGCAATGAAGTGGAAGTTATGATGAAAGAAGTAAACAACAACATAGACGCCTTAGAAGGAGCTCGTGGTGACAACAAAAAGAAGACAATAGTAGATATAATATTTAAGGACTTTTCTGTAACGCCTTTTGACAGTTATACAGCATCGCCTGAGAGTTAATTAAGAAATTTGGAGCGGTTCCCTTTATTTATATTACGGGAATAACCGAAACGTAACTATAGCTAAAGAAAGGGCGAAATCAAATTTGGAGGAAAAATTCAAGGCCGCTATTGAGAACAACGAGAATATGAGTATTTGTTTATCTTCATTGTTGCATGATAAGCATTTTTTGAATTCTAAAAAGTCATACGAGAAGCCACGCCAGAAGCAGAAAGTAAGTGGCTCTTTATAGGCTTTTTTTAACAAGTCTAACTTTGTACATTCTTCTTAGGAAAAGCTTCACATCGTTGTTACGACGATATCGAGAAAGTCGACACGTATAACGTAAGTCAAAGTAAGTTTTTAAAATTTGTGAAGAGACAATATTTAAGTTAATCCAAGATTTTTCAGCTTTAGTGCCATATAATCTGTGTAAACCTGGGGTAAGTAAAAATGATGATTGGGATGAAGCTGACGATGACTTATTTGGCTCCATTAGCACACAAGAAAATCAATAATAATAAAAATAATAACTTTCCCAATATATCTAAGTTTCAAGATAATAAGCAGATAACCCAAGGTATGGGCTCCTCACCCTTTTTTGACGCTTATTTTTATAATTTTTTTTTTATTTCTGCAGGTTTTCAAACAGCGAATGGTAAAAAAATCTCCATATCGGAACAAAGCAAAATATCCATGCAAAATATTCTAAGAGAATTTCAAGACGATTTGCGGGAAACGGATTATGAAACTGAATTAAAAGATATAAAAGCTCGGATATCGAATAAAATTATGGAGTCCAAGTTTAGAACAACCGCAACCAGAAAAAGACTAATGTTCGAAAAAAAAACAATGAAACGGGACAGAAAGATATAAAAGTTTGCACGGAATTCAAATTTTAAGAAATTACAAAGAGCAGTGCACAAGTCAACGAAAGCACAGGTTTTCAAATGGCTAACGGCAAGAAAATGGTCATATCTGAGAAAGGGAAAAAACGCGTGGAAGCCTTGAATGAATGAATTTCATGAAAGTGACGGTGATATTGAGGATAATTTGCTTTGTATAAAAAATAAAGTTATTTCTAAAAAGCAAAGCATGCTGTCGGAAAAAAAACTTTCAATACATCTTTAACAAGCAGGAAAGAAAAAGAAGATTACCCCAGTTGTAGCAGCAAGTTGTCAGCAGATGACAAAAAGTCGAATATAAAAGTTAAAAACGGTGAAGTGGAGGTGGGAAGCGACATCGTATCAAGTGCATGGGTTCCTACTCAAGATAATTGAAAGCAATTTGAATGTAAACAGACCGACGTCGATCCTTCGGCTTTAAATGTTCCAACAACGATTCGTACAAATCACTTCTTGTCATTAGATCCAAAAAAAAAACATCAGAAATTTTTAGTTTTAGTTATAATTTAATAAATACATTCAATTTGATTTTACTCACACTACATTGTTCTAGTTTGCCTTGCTTTGCTTTGCTTTGATTTTGATTTTGTTTCCATTTTATTAAATGGAAGATTTTAACGATTCTTTGGTTGCTACAGTGGGATCCTATGAATGGGTTCCTACTAATTTGAATTTCAACAACAAACCGTTTTAAAATCTCAAATTACTTTTGCAACATTCGGCTCTAAATGTTCCAATGATGATTCGAACCATTTGAACCATTTGGCTTCGATTCTAAATCTTCCTCTCGATGTCCTTTTTCTCTAAGATTTTTTAATTTTTTTAAATTTTTGATTTATAAATGTTTTACCAATTATTATTTTTATATAAAAAAATATTAATTATTCAATTACTTTGAGAAAGTATCCAATAAAAGAAGCGTAAAGTTCAAGTAAAAGATTAGAAAAATTATATTTTCATATTATATTAAATAAATGTATATAAAAATAAAATATATATAAAAGAATTATTAAATTATTGCATTTGCTTTGAATTTCACCTAAAACATTAGTTTATATAAACCGGCCAGATTCCACAAGTCAACAGCGTTTTGAAATATTCAGTTACTAAGTTTTTTGTTCCGGAGCATGTCCAAGCTATTTTCGTGTTCTTTTAACAGAGATCTGGCAGTTTTCTCAGTTATATTAAAACAGGGACGTTTAATTGTCATTCTTAGGGATTTATTGACAATTAAAAATTTCTCGCACGTTTTTCTTTGCTAGAGCCTTCAAAGTTTTGAAATCTTGTTTTTCCTTTAAATTATAAGCGTGTTTGAAATTGTATTGTAGAGAGTTTTATCTTATATTCTGCAAATTTTACTTATTACTTAGAATTTTAATAAAAAAAGAAGACCTTGGAAATTTTCGTTGGATTTTGCATTTAACGTCTTAACAAAAATTTCTTTAGAAATTTTATCACAAACAATAAATGTCACATAGCCTCTGAATGCATTTTTGTGTATTTCCATTTTCGGTGCGGGTGTTCCATTCAAAACAAAATCAAAAAAAATTGTTCGATTGAAGGATTAATTTTTTTTTTTGGTGCAACATTAACGCATCTTGCACTCAAACAACTTGCATTTTCGTTATACAGGTATAGTATCACAAGTAAGAACTAGGACAAATGTTAATATAAAAAAAAAAAAAAGTTTTTCAATGTCATCGCTTAAACTTGTATTGTACGTCTATGTAAAATGAGCGCAAAATCCACTGACCCGTTTTATTTTACAAATATTACTTGGTCATGGAACTAAATGAATTTTTCAATAAATCTTTTCAATAATTTGCTGATTGTGTAAAATATGTAAACCAATCACTATTTAAATATATGTAGTAAGGGACCCTCTTAAAAGTATTTAAATTGATGAGTTAAACGCAAAATGAAATAATCACAAATAATAATTATAAATGTGTGTATATGTATATATGTATATATATAGGATAACTTATGCAAACAAGGTTACTGTTGCAACAAATGTGTATAGGATAAGTGCAACAGTTGCTTAAATCGCCAAAAGAATGTATACAAGATATGGAGCAGACGATGCCCATTATAATGTGAAAGTGAATAGCAGTGAAGTCAAATTCATTGTGAATGGAAATTTGCCTCCCACACCGAAATCGCCGCCATGTTTACATGATCATATAAGAAGATCGATAGATGCCGCACGACGGCCTCATCAATTACGAATGTCTCCCACAAATGCTGCCACGTTCGAGCAAATTTTCGAACATAGTCCTCCAACAAAAACATATAAACTTCAGCACCGCTATTCTCACCGCAACAAGAACGCCTTACATGACGGCGAAATTGGAAGCATCATGCAGTCTCCACCTGACTTCACTAACAGAAACAACAATGACGATTTTAAGCTGTTTGGAAACGCCTACGCTTTGGATCCATATGCAATGGCAGTACCAGAGTATCAGCTATTACCACCGTAATAAATTTATACATCTTACCAGTTGATTGCTTTCTTTTTTTATCATTTTCCTATAAGTTTAATTTTAATTTGTAATTTGCTACGTTCAATTTGTAATTCTAAATGTATTCATATTTATACCTTGTGTTAGTTTTTATTTTGTAAAACTTTGTAAGTTTTCTCTGTTAATAATACTAGCAATGTTTATAAATAATCGATTTTTATATTTTTAAAGGCAGGACGAAGGCTGCTCAAATCCCGCCTACGAGCAGCATTATCAACACTACTATTCATACTTTTATGATTCTAATCTAAGTAATCAGAAGTATCAAAAGAAGTTAGGCAACGGAAGAAAGTTGCCCTCGCTGTCTGTCATGCCGATAGTAACAAAAAAAGATAATTTTCTCTTGGAGAATCAGCATCAAGTATTAAGCAAAACCAATTTTGTAGATACAGGACGTCATCGAAGAAATCAAAGTATCGATAGAAGTCGTCCTACTACTCCTACTAATGTCTTGCGGGAGAAATTGTCAAACAACAACGATGCTTTCTCCTTTGATGATTTTATCAGGTATGGAGACGGATCTAAAGAAGACCAATCAGATGGGAGTTTTCTAGATGGAATTCATCCTAATGAATATGAAAATAGAGATGTCAAACTTGCCAAAGCTGCTCGCATGAGATTAGTTTTGCAGGCAACTAGAAGGAAACTACGAACTCGTTCCGATTCCGATACGCGAGATTACAAGTCAACAAATGATTCACAATGGGTTAGACGAGAAGGTGGGAATGATAACAGCAGCGATCAATTGCAAAGTGTACACTCACCGAATAATAATGAACCTATACCACCACGTCCAATAAAACTGCCGGCTACGCCTGTTAAATCTAAAGGTTTGTATCTATTATCAATAACTAAGTAAACACTTTATAAAACATGAAAATTTTAAATTTTTCTCAGCGTTGGTTGTAGTGAAGAAACCATCACCTCCGTCTCCACATAACCGCCGCGTACTTCTCTATGACGGCCAGAGTCCGCGGCTGGCCCGAACGTCATCATCCCATTCGCGAGTAGGACGTTCGAAAGGCAAACAACAAATTGACAGTCGAACAAAAATTAAGAATAACGTTCAAATGGTTTTGAACGGTCGTGTACGCGTTTTAAAATCGATGAGTCCCAATAAAGATGCAGATGCTAATAGAAATTTTAGTAAAAACACTGACTCTAACGATGATGACGACGATGACGACGATGATTTGGACAACGGTAAAAATTATAATATATATTATAATGGATATTTAATAATAATATATAGTATACATGTATATGTAGGCAGCTTATTAAATATTTGTTTCCATTTCAGTTTCCGGTATAGGGGACAGCGAGAGTTCTGATTTATCGTCTGACTCCGAAGAAAGTTATCGGTCATACGCTTACAAAATAACGCATTCTGTGGATTGTATACCAAGTGTGGAATCGTTTTTAGAGTTTCAAGAATGTGGAGAAACTCTAGATAATCCAGAGACTATATTAGTACCCAGTCTGTTTCCGAATGTACCACCGTACTTAGCATTTTCTTCCGATACCCAAAAGGGCCCAGAGATTCCACCTGACTTATATCGTGTACTTAAATGGCGGGTAACCAGTAATATGCCGCGCGTGGTACGTCGCGTTTTAGGAAACAGCGGCATGCGTCTGCTGAAAAGTGCGTATTGTTATGAAAAGCGATGAGAAAAATAAATCAAAACAGATTGATGCGATCAATTTCAGAAACGAATGATTGGATGGGTATTTGGGCAAAACACATGAAATCAACTTCTTTCAAGTCAATAAGGCCGCATCAGAAAATCAATCATTTGCCAGGTTCATTCAGAATTGGACGCAAAGATTCCTGCTGGAAGAGTCTAGTCAAACTAAAAGCCAAGCATGGTAAAAAGGATTTTGGTTTCATGCCAAAGTGAGTTAGATAAATAGGAAGTATTACTATTTCTGTTTACTTTAATAATAATTCGTTTTGCTAATTCCGCCGTAGAACATATATCATTCCAAATGATTTGGGCCAATTGAGAAAAAGTTGGCCAAAATATGCTCAGAGGAATGTGAAATGGATAATTAAACCACCAGCAGGTGCCCGCGGTACAGGTATACGTGTAGTGGATCATTGGAATCAAATTCCAAAACGTAAACCACTTATTGTACAAAAATACATAGAACGTCCTCTGCTTATAAATAGTAGCAAATTTGATTTGCGTTTGTATGTTTTAGTTACATCAATAAATCCATTACGAGTGTACATGTATCATAACGGTTTGGCACGATTTGCTTCCGGTAAAAATTCAACAACACTTGTTTATTAATATTATATAAAACATATTTTAATAATTTTATTTGCAGTAAAGTACAGCGAAAAGTCAGAAACTTTAAATGACCGATGCATGCACCTCACTAATTATAGTATAAATAAGAAGTCATCGAATTACTCCAAGAATGAGGATGTGAATGCTTGCCATGGTCATAAATGGACCATCAAGTCGCTATGGAATTATCTGGGAAATCGTGGTGTACGCACAGACTGTTTATGGGAAGCACTTAGAAATCTAGTTTTGCATACAATATTAGCCGGAGAGAATGCAATAAATAACATGATTAAGGCTAACGTTGAATCAAAATATAGTTGTTATGAGCTTTTTGGTTTCGATGTTTTGCTAGACGCTGACTTAGTTCCATGGCTATTGGAAGTGAATATTTCACCATCACTGCATTCTGAATTGCCATTGGATACATTTGTTAAGGCCCCTCTAGTCCAAAGCATTCTTAATACGGCTTTATACCACGTAAATAATTCAGATATATTTAACTTATCATAATTAAAATTGTTTTCTATCGAAGGTACCGCCTAAAATACCTATGGATCGTCAACTAGAGTTAGCTGCCGAATTGTCATTACCTCCGGGCCAAATATGTTTCGACAAACGATTATATATTACTTACTTGTCTCGTCAAGAAAAAATTAAACACAATGCATTTACTCGCAAGTCTATAGAAGACCGATATGAGGTATTTATGAAAAGCTATTCAATTCACAATTGTATTATATATCGTTTATGTTATCTAAATGTTTATCTACTCAAATTGCTTTAAGTCAGTAGACAAGATATCTAATAAGGGAAAGACACATATTTTGCAAAATAAGATTTTATTTTTTATCATAATTTCCTTTTAACTTAACATTGCTATCTCTTTTCAATATGAGTAGTTCTTGGTTCGACTCAGACAGCCATCCTTTAAGATTTTCAAATAACTAAGAGCCGCTTAAGGTCAAATCTGGAGGTTGCAATAGTTACACCAGCAATACATGCCACTATTCATACAATCTCACTTATGCAATCTTTGAGGAATGCACTGGTGCTTAGTTATAAGGGTAGAATGCCCTTTTTACAAATGCAGCCATTTCATGTTCATTTTCATTTTCAACGGATCCAGTAACGCCAAAATAACTCCGTTGTTCCGTAAAGTATGCCATGTATATGTGCCAAAAATACTGAACATAGCATCTCTCGCTATTGTTTGCATTCTTTTTCACATCATTCCGATGTGTATGGGGAAATTATCGTTGAATTTATAAATCTTTATTGAAAACGCAATTTTATGCGATTATGAGCGAACGCGGCAACTATCCTGCCTCCAAATTTTCCTTCAAAATAGCAAGCACAGACCCATATGTGATGCATACGGCTGAAACTTCATCCCGCGTTTTTAATATTAGGTCACCTAGTATTGTATTAGAAATTCTTTTCGCCATCTTTTTGGTGTTGCAATCTCAATTGAGCGACTTCAACTACATTTATGCTCTGTACAAACACGTTTGAATTCAGATACCCAGTATCTTCTTCTTCTTTTTTTTTTTTTGATAGCACAAAGAAGAATTCAATTTGATCAGAAACAAGTCTGGCACATAACTAAAAACTTTAATTTCGCAAAAAATTCCCTATCTATAGGAATTAATGATTTGAAATTCTGCTCAAGCACTTACATACAAAAATAATTGTAAGCGACCAGAAGCGGTCTGAAAAGACAAAATTTTCATGAATTGACTTGGGCAGGGATAAACAAATGTCCTAAAGGAAATATATCAGGTTGGCGTAGTTCTTGCTTGCGACTGTTCGTAAGAGCTGCGAAAAGAAAAAAAATGGCAATCGGCTGCAGCCGACTGCACACAGGATTGGTAATCGCGATTCTTACCTATTTAGCTACTCATGCGAATGTGGAGAATATAAGAGACCTATTTTCACTACTCTTCATCATTTAGTTACGAAGTGGAAAGTGATTAAATTTCAATAGACAAAGTACATTTGAGGCATAGCATTGGAAAAGAAGCAACGGATCGATTGCTTGTAAAAACTTATCTAATAAGTTGGGAAGATGGCAGAATCTAAGTGGTAACGCCATTCTTCGGGCTATGTTGGAGAGTAACCACTACACCACTACAATTGCAAAGGCATCTCACGTTAAACCTCTTCAAAATTCAAACATTTTGTTTAACACGCGACGGAACTTTCCCTCCAATCTAATAGTTTGCTTGCACGCTGAACAATTGTTTGATCATTTTAGAATGTTCAATGGGTGTTTGCACACGTTCTTTAGTAACCATTTCTTTTTTGGAATTAAAGGGCTTTTTTTTTGAAGAATTCTTCTTGCCAACTTTAAAGAAATTTGTTTGTTTTCTTTATTTGAAAAGTACATTAATGAAATTCTGGAACGATTGACGCCGGATGACATACGCTGTTTGATAATCGCGGAAGATGAGTTAGCGCGCAGTAAACCATTGGAGCGCATATTCCCAACAGCGGAAACTTACAAGTACCTGAAGTACACTGAATCGGCGCGATACTACAATCGTCTATTGGATGCTTGGGAAACTCGTTATTCGGAAAATCGTAGTGCAGGCATAGATCTCTTACGAGATTATTGCTCCGAAAGATATCATCTACAAATACCACCAACACCCGCCAAAAAGGTAAATATATATGTCCTCAATATCATCACCTACATACAAACATTTGCATATATAACAGCAATACTTTTTTCATCAATTATACATTTAAGGAGAACTTATCTCCACATATCATTTTTAAACACTCAACAAGAAAGTTAACGCGATTGTTGTCTTTACACGCAAAAATCATTCAATTTGAAAACAATGTTCTATTGATTTATTAAAAAAACTAAAAAAAAAAAAAAAAAACTAAACGAAACGAAACGAAATAAAAAAACAAAACTTATTAAATTTTGGAGGGTTGTTGGCGTGCTATTATATCGTTGTTTTGGCGTTGCCGATCTTTATACTCTCGTAAGTTAATCCGCTTCTCCAACAATAATAGTTTTGAACGTAAACATTGTTCATTGGGAATATAAAACTAAAAAATGACTTAGCATAGAATTATATTATGTAGAAAGTGTCAAATTATATCAAGGTCTTGCTTTAAATAATAATAACAATAATAATAATAATAATAATAATAAGTAACGCGTTTTTAGTACGCAAACAATTGTTTTCAAGTATGTAATTCTAACTAAAGACGAGTGTGTGTGTATGTGAGTTAAACATTTTAATACAAAATTAAACTGTATTTCGATGTATATTAAACGCTTTTTTAAATAAACATAACACAAGGCTGTGATATCTTTAAAACTCGCATGAAAAGTAAATTAAAGATTTTATTAAACGATCAAAAATTATATATATATATATAATTAGTAGTCTCTAGAATGGTTATGCGTTTTAACTATACAAAAAAAAAAAAAAAAATATATATATATATATATATATATATATATATATATATTGCAAAATAAATCAATGACAAAGACTTAGAGCTATAGACTATCTTCACAATATTTCAAAAACGATTTTTCAAAAATATACACACGTTAAACATAGAGCGATTAAAAATACGGGAAGAAAAACGCGGCAGAATCATAGGAAAGGAAGGAAAGAAAAAAAATTATTATAAGGAGAAAAATATCATCAAAAAAAAAAAAACAAAAAAAAGCATTGTGTTGCATTTATAAATGCGTTCCCTACTTATTCATTATAAACTGCATAACTATTATTCAAAATACTTGCCACATATTTATTTATGTCTGTTTATTTATTTTTTTTTTTTATTGACCCAATTTACCTCAACTATATGATATAAAAAAAAAGTATTTTGAAGATGATGACATTGTCTATTATTCATCGCGTGAAAAACTTTCTATATCAGGTGGGTTACACTTCGAGAACGTTCCATATGTTCCAAAATATAAATAGCTTATCGTATCCTTTTATTAGCTTAATATCGATTCACTAAAATAAGATTAAAGAAATATTAATAAAAATGCGTACGCTTTAAATGCCAATTCTAAAAGACATTATTGGCATTCTTTTTTTTTATTTTGGAAAACGCCTTCTCACCCATACGATATTATATATCTATATATATATATACTCATATATAATATATATACGCTTTACATATTACTCATATAATAAATATAAATAACTAAATTTCCGCAAGCGCATAAATATAATAATTAGCAGTTACGTCGGCAAGCACGTTCATATCATATCTTATCAGTAGTGGTGCATGTACCTTTACTGATTTGGTTTTATACAATTGGTTTATATTCACTTAGCTCTCACTTGGAAATATTTGCTTAATGTAGGCCTCTTCCTATATTCCTACTACATATATATTCCTACGATCCATGAAACAATACAACATTTTTATCTATATAAAAGAAAGAGGTACGCTATTGATTCTCGATCAGTGTGAAATTGGGCATCAATTCCTAATTTATTTATTTGCTGATCGTTCGAGTCATTCCTATGAAAATTATCTTGCGAATAACTTTTCTAATGCAAATGGTTAAAGAATATATTTTTAACTGCAGATGCCAAGCAGAAGCTAGGAATTCATATGAAACGAGACAGAGTGTATATATTCGTCTTGTCATTCCCAAGTCATTCACAACTGACGATTACATTGTTCTTGTTCTTGCGAGAAACAAGAAAGTTACATTCGCCTTGGACTAATCCCTCCCTATGCCTGTGCCTCAAAGTAAATGCTCAAATATTATCTTTCTATTTAAATCATTTGTCGTAAGCTGTAACTGTGTTATGGTAAGCTTACATATATTAGGTTTGATCGACTTGATATAAAGTTGCGCTTCTCTATCCTACAGCACCTGTGATGCAAGAGTTTTAATTAAGTTCGTAAGCACGCATGTAAGACCTATCTTTTATTATAGCGAAACTAAAAAAAGTATTGTCGCCCTCTTCGTCGAAGTAAATACATGTACAAGCATACATTTGCCATCTCTTTTTGAAAAAAATCATTTCACTGTTCTATTTATAACAGTCAAAAGTGTGAGCAAGAGTCCGCTAAAAATAATTCCATTTCGATGAGCTTTCGTGGCCTTCAAACAATGCTCTAATACCTAGCATTTCTTGTATATAAAACTGAGAACGTTTTTTAGGTTAAAACATTCATATGAATTCTTTCGAAGCTTTTCTCTTTTCACTCCCTTCATTTTCGATTTAATCTTATCGTTGTTGCGTTTTTCGTTGCATTTATTCCTGTTGTTTATATCTCTATTGGCAGTTTTATTATAAATATTTTATCAAAATTTAATTTAAAGTCGCTTCCAAATGTTTTTCGCTCATTTACGGGGTTTTTGTACCCTACACCACTTGTGTACTTTTTGCGGATGTATGCAACTAGCAGAAGGACTTGTGATAAATGCACCTTTTTATTATGCCATTCTATTGAGAATCGCTTTTGATTTCATTTAAGTATGTCTATCCATCTGTCCGTTTTGTGCTTGATGTACAGGTCGCAATTTCTTGAGGTATTTCAATGAAATTTGCATTGTTTCGGCGCAAGCTATTAACACCATTCGGATCCCATCACTTCTTCGGCTTCTCCCCTTATAAAGCATTATATTGAAAAGTTGTTTTAAGAAACAACATTGAAATTTTTAGAATTTCAAAAACTGAAAACTTTCGATATGTTGGGTAAAGTTTTTTAAATCGCTTGCCCTATAACCGTTCCTATGGAAATAGTGTCTTGTTATGGTAAAAATGCCTAATTTGCAATATTTCTCGACGAGAATTCGTTTACAATAAAAATTTGATATAAAACTTTGCCTTATCGAGTTTGGACTTCGTAGGTCTATTTTTTTGGATAAACATCCATATATGGGCACTAATAACAAATAAGATTTTTTTGAAAAAAAATTTTAATTTTTAATATTTTATGATAAAAATTTGTCCTTAGTAAGTCAACCATAGGCAGCTTGGATCACATAGACCATAGACCTATTTCTCAGACAGCACCATATGTAGAAAAATCAGTTATCGTGTTTCCCTATCTTTCTCCATTGATAGTATTTGCAATGCCATTTTCATTTTCAAAAATTACATCTTCAGCCCACAAACTGCATGTAAAGCTATTTTTGCGCACGTGCAGGTCTTTTCGAAACATTAGGTGGATTTCCTTTAGGAGGCACTTAAACGAATATAAGTTTCATCCCACATGCATGAAACGTATCCGTGTGTTCATTTTCTTCGTAGCAATTTCGCGAAACCATTTCTGTTCGCTGTGCGCTATGTGGATATTGGCAAAGTCCATGTCATATATTGAGAAAAATTTCGAACCAAATCTTAATAGAAGACGTGTTTTATTTACGTTTGCTTATGGAACCATAAAATAGATAATTCTATACAAATCTTCTTATAAAAATGGTAACCTATAATCAAAATGTTAAAAAAGATTCGAAGTTTAACTGCCGGAATTGTGGAGCCTTAATCCTCAAAAAACATGTGCAAAAAACTTGTCCTTCCATTCTCCTTATAACTGAAATGAACTATCTTCTCAAATATATAGCGGGAGGTTTCATTTATTAAGTTTTATAATGTACACACATGTATACGCCGTATGTAGATTCGATTCATCCATTAGTCCAAGAATTGTTGTAACAATAGCGAGGCATAAATAAACTTTCCTCGCAAGAAGTTAATAAATTTTCTTCTTCTTTGACTTCTTCACTCACGGGATCTTGCGTGCTTGCAAAACTATATAAAAAAATGATGTTCGTATTATCTCTGAGGCATATATAATGCGATTGCTTTCTAAAAGCCTGATTATCCGCTTTTAACTAAACTCACTTAGTGTACATGCACAGATTTTCTTAACTTTTATTTATTCCTTTTCTCCTGCTGGTGTAAGCATTCATTTTTCTCCATTTCCTTGAGTTTATTTTCTTGAATTTTTTTTTTTTTTTTGTTAAATCCATTAATCAAGGACATGTATATCAACAATAATAATAAAAAATTATTATTCTGTAATATTTTGCAGGACTTTTTCATCAAATTTCTGAGATGGATATTAAAATCATAATTACTGCCATCGCCTTTGTAGCGATTGCTTCCATAGCGTTGTGCGTAATTAGTTTAATAGCTATTAAGTATACACACAACAATATATGATGTGCGCTACATATAAGTAGCGATTAGAGTAAAATCATATATACTTTTATATAGTAATATAATAATAAACAGTGTCTCAAAAAATCTATTATATACACTGCCCTCATATTATTACAATAGAAAATATTTTAAGAAGTAAGAAAGTCCCCTTGACGGAGTAGATGTAAAATATTCAACGCGGCAAACAGTTTTTATCAATTATAGGACCAATTATAGCATGATTGCATCAAATTTTTATATTCATGGCGAGTTTTAGATCGTTAATCTCTTGAGCTTACAAACTCGTTTTAGTTCCCCAGATCTTGTGGGCATGTTCATATGTTCGTAATATCTCCGTTTTCAGATTTAATTAACTGTCTCTTCTTAATGTCGTAAAGAGGATAAGAAGATTAGTTTGATTTTCAACTTAACCCTGATATGTGTATAAATTGTTTCCGAAATTCTCAATCTCTACAAATTTTTATAGTTTTATCCCGCCGATAATGAGCTTAATTAAAGTTTATATATATATATCCAGGGATAGAAAACAGATGAGAAGACAACACTAAAAACCGATCAAGCTCCCCCTATAATAGTCCTAAATACGTAAACACTGCAGAAGTACTAAGTACTTCAATTAGAGTAAATTCACTAAAAGTATTGAACGATTTTTAGTTTTCTCTTCTCTACCCCTGGACAGGTTCGGTTTTAAATTCCTTTAGAACTAAATAAAAGTTTCTCAAACATGGATTACGAATAAGTTGACTCTTAAAAGCTTTTATTCGATAGATGGACAACAAAGAGATGCAAGAATATGCATAATTTAGTCTAAATTTATTTTTATAAAATTTCTAATAACGTAAAGATTAATTGAGAATATTTGGATATGTATGTAAATTTATTTTGAGGCACTGTAATATCAACAAACAATTCATGTGATGATAACTTAACCCATAGCAATATTAGTTGACTCGTGATACTATTAAACAATAAAACATTTTTATTATTCGCTTATAGCGAATCTAGAAGACTCACTACTATAAATAAGTACATAGAATTCTTGCCGAACCTATCTAGTCGGCAATTGCTGTTGCAGTTCGTTAATTGTCGAAAAATCCAACTATCTTTTTGAAAATTGTCTGATATATATGCAAGTGAAATGTTAGTTAGTGTTTATATCATAGAGATGGACGCACAGACAGACAATATGCATTTTTGAAATGAAATAAAGTTATGTGCGCCGGGCAAGCAGACTCTTTACACAAAATTTACGACACTCCGTACGTGGCCTCATGGAGACGGACGCATAGATAGACAAAAAAATGCCCTTCTTAGGGATTCTCTAGCACATATACCCACGTAAGGACAAGTCCGATCCTCTTCTATTTACCAGTAGTAATGAGTACGAAAAAAAAAAAAAATTAATAAATAAAAGACAGAAAAAAAAAAAACAAATTTCATTATTTATTTTAGATAAAAAATCGAATTGAAAATTACTGAAGAAATTTTTAATGATTTAATAATTCGAACAAGTCTTATGTGATAGTTAAAAATTATTCTCGTTACCCGAATCGATATTATTTCAGATGAAAATTAAAGTTAGACAATTGTATAGTTAGTCAATTTTATGCCTTATGAATCCGATATATATACAAACGCGTATATGCGATACGCCGTAATTACCGTGAACACTCAAACTACTTAACGCGTAGAGAAAATTCAAAAATCAAAAGCACTCTTAAAAATAATCTTAAAACCCAAATATTAAAAAAAAAAATAAATAAATAAATAAATAAAAACTTTTGGACTCTATTTTATAAACTTTACCAATTACTTCTTACACTTACAATACCTGTTGATTAATACCTAACATTACTTTTAATAAAAAATAATCACTTACACAGTTTCAATTTCTAATTTTCGATGCGGCTGACGCTTACAATCATCTCACTTAACAAATTTTGTTCAAAACAAATTTCGATACAAAGCCTTCTCACTTACTTAACTTAAGAAAAACATATCAATCATATTCCGAATTTGCAATAATTTAAAAAATTCAATTTCCAATCTTCTCAAATTTTTTTTTTTTTTTATTCACTAAAGAGATCCTGTTAGATTTGTAGTACATAGTCAAAATAGTAAATAGATTTTATAAAATAATTTATTATCATTACTATCACACGTAATATGACTCTTTAATAAGATCCGACTTCAAGAGTTTATAGATAAATAAACCGTAATCGAATATTATGAAAGAGCCGTTAGCTTATGCTCTCAACAGAGGGCATATTAAATTTCACTTATTTATCTAAGGCACAGGACAAATCATCGAAGGCCACACTACGTATATATTCTGGATCAATTCATATCGAGCAACGTAATCAATGAATTCATGTTCGTATCACTTTCTGTCTGGCAAAGTTGCACTTGCAGATAAACCAAGTTTTTCTTAAAAAAGCGATCGCTCTGCATTATACCTTATATCATATATATGAAATCTGAAAGATCTAAAATAGTCTCACTTTATATTATGTGAATCGATTCAGAATCATTTTCTCGAACGAGAATTAAATCGGATCACTTTTACGACTAATTTTCTCCATATGAGTAGCCGAGTGGATAAGAATAGCCAAGTCAATGTTTGCGGGTTCAAATCTCGAAGCGATAGAGTTTTCTTTGGTCGTAGCTATAGTGAGTGTTCAGTCGATAAAGGCCTAACATTTACCAATTAGGTACAGATCCATTAGGCTGCGGTCGCTTGCTTTTCTCACTTCTTTTCGAACGTCACCGTATTACAAATAAGGGAAAGCCTCCTGAGTGACTGATTATATTATGGAAAAAAAGCAAAACAAATCTTCCCCATATAATCTATTGTTTTGAAATACTTGTTATAGGAGAAAATGAGTAACATTTTAAAATTGCCGACTGATAGCATTTCGGTGCTGGAACAAATGAACCGACTTTTTCAACGCCATTCCGTAGAAGTCTGTCTGCGAAAAGCTTGTCTTTAACAGAATGTGATGCAAATTGGTTTATATGTTAAATTTGGACTACATAAGTCTATTTTTTGCATTCTGTCACATAAAAGGGTACTCATGAAAAATAGCCCTTATTTTAAGAACGGAAATAAGTTAATTCTTTACCTAAGATTTTTGAGAAGAAAATGAATTCTGCTAAATTTGGACGACATTAGTCTATGTTACGGGCTCCCACAAGAAACTTGCCTTTGCATGGGAAGATGATATAATTTTTGGTGTTTTATCACTAAAAGCTAGAGATGGTGTAGGTTACGTAACACTAGATTTCCGGTAGAAATAGGTTGTGAATCGTCACAGTCGCAAAACTGAGCATAGGAAACTGAAATTTGACATAAATATTCTTTGATCGATTAAGAATACGAAATTTATAAACGGATGTGATTTGTTCGCAAACACGCCCACCATGCGGGAGAAACTAAAACAACCTTAGAAACACCGAGAATTTTTTCACATTTTCGTTCATAACGTGCGATATCAGATATTCGTTGAGATCACTTTCGTGCTTAGTTCGAAAATAGTTACAATCGGTTTACTAACACGTCCACAATTAACGATGAAATCCAATCCAATGTGCCTTAGGATAAATGGGAACTAAATTAGAAATAAGTTGGAATTTAAATTTTGTTGCTAATTGCGGCGGTCCTGACGGACATTTGCGTTGCAGTTTTTCAGAAATATATCCATGTAATCAAAAGTTATAGACGAAAATTTAAAAAAATTCTCGCTATTTCCGAGATTGTTTTAGTTTCTGCCGCATTATGGGCGTGTATGTGAGGCGAATCGAACCCATCTTCTCTTAAACCTCGTTTTTTAAAATCAATCAAGGAATGTTTTCTGTCTTTACGGTCTTGCATAAAAATAGGTGTAGAACATCACATTTGCATCAAAATATCAAAAGTGGATGTGCCCTAGAAAAAAGGAGTAGACATGTACGTGTGCTAAACTGTCCGAAAGTTTCCCGAGGCATTGAGCTGCATTTTCGTCCGATAAGTTTTGCTTGCAATTCATTGTCTTTGAACTTTTTTGGCCAGCAATTTGAGTATGACGCAGCAGCATCACCATATAGTGTCTAAAAGTGTGTGATGGGCTTCGGCAGCAGATTTCTTCAAATCAAACTGAAACGTAATAAATGGAATTTTGAGCTATACCTGATTAGCGTCTGTATACGCAGAATATCCTAATAATACTAAATTGTTACTTTAGGTATAGAAAGGTCAAAATGATTGCTGGTATGTTCCATTTCTTCATAATTTTTACTCATAGAAACCGCTGGCCAAAATTAACGCAACTATTAGATGTTGCCTAATGGTAGCTGCATCTGCAGCATATCCACATCGCCGACAATAGAAATTATGTACTGTCTGTGTTTGCATTAGGCCGTAACGATGAATGGCCAGCCTTGTAATCAATAAGCTCGAATGTTATCATAACAATTTTTAAACTACGCTTAGCCTGCACCCTTTCATACTCGCAATCCAATGCTGACTAATATAAAACATTCGGCTTAAGTGTAAGTTGCTTGTGTTTTTCTTTTTAGATTTTTTACAAACTCTCTTAACACTTAACTAATTCTTTAATTTTTTTGATTCTCTTTTTAATACACGATTATTATACATTTATAAAGCATGAATAGGACACATTAGATAAATACATATATGTATATATATATATCCTTATATATAAAAGCGATTTAAGTGCATGATTAATTTTAATTATATACATAGATACATAAATACATAATACATATAAAGCGAGAAGGAAGTTTTGTTTTATATTAATTACCCTTTCAAAGTTTCCTTCTTTTGCTAATTTACTACATTATATATATATATATAATATATATACATAATATATACATTATATATATACATAATATATACATTATATATATATATAATATATACGTTATATATATATAATATAATATATATTATATATATGAAAATCTATTCAATTTAAAATTACTTAATAATGAAAGTGTTCCCTTCAATATTTGTGGTAAACTTTGTATATATTTTAACTAATTATTTCGAATAAAGAGATTAATGTATAGTAAATATATGCATACAAAATATAGATTTTGTTCGAAAATTAAAATTAATTATCATAAGTAGGTTTTATTCTTTCCTTACTTACAAACCTCCTCTACACATCTTTCTCTTTCCCTCTCTCTCATCTTCTTTCTCTTCATTTGTATTTTTCTTCCTCTATAACTACCACAAAAAGATAAGCGACTTGCTTGAGCATTTGAAGGAAAAAAAAATGGTCCGAACGGTCTGACATTGTATTTCATCTTAATAGAGACTACTCTTCTTCTTCTTTTTCTTATTCTTTCATCTTTTCCCACAAGTAATTGGTTTGCACTCGATGTTTATGTAAATTGTTTGGCTGTGGGTTCAGTTTTTAGTTGGTTTTTTTTGGATATGCGAACAGACGGACATGCTTAGGTGAATTCCAAATTTGAAACTGGCCAAGTACGTACACTTTCCGTTATGGGATTTTTGAAGCTTGCTTCTGTGCGTTATAAAAGCCAATTTTGTATTCCTTTCGAAAATAGAAATGCTCTCAATGTATATTATATGGGTGCCCTTTCCTCGATTTGGCCAATTTCCCATTCCCAAGGGCAGCCGACTTATTTTGATA